TTTTAATATAATTCTCAAGTTTGTCTACATAAATGACCTTATTACTTATTCCTTTACAATCTGCCTTTCATTTCTTTTTTTTTTTTTTCCTTTATTGCATTTGGCTAGAACCAGTACAATGTTGGATAGAAATAGAGCATGTATATTCTTGCATTGTTTCTAATCTTAGGGGGGAAACGTTCAGTCTTTCATCACTAAGTACGATATTAACTAAAAGTTTTTCATAAATGTCCTTAGTATTATAAGGAAGTTCCCATCTAGATTTAGATGAGAAATACTAGATTTCTGAGTTTTCAGCATGACTAGACATTAAATTTTGTCAAATACTTTTCCTGTATCTATTGAGGTGAACATAAAGTTTTTCATTCTAAGTATGGTAACATGTATTATTTTCAAATAATTTTCAAATATATTCATGATAACATGAATTATTTTCAAATTTTAGTCAACCTTAAATTCTTTGGATATCCTCTACTAGGTCATAATTTATTATCATTATTATATATTTCCAGATTTTTATTCTAAAATTTTGTAAAGAATTTATGTGTCTATATCCATGAAAGATTTTATTTTCTTAAAATATCTTTGGAATCAGATTTGAAAAGAATGATGATCTGTATGAATCATGTATATTATAAATCTAATTCCATTCTTAATAAAGGAAGGTTGATGATTTGCAAATAATATAAATTACACAAGATATTGTAAATTTATATTATGTATTAATTTTTCAAAAGTTATATAAACCTATGAAATGATTAAACATAGTTGCTTTTAAAGAAAGTCCCCCTTACTAAGTTATTCACAACTTGGTTGCCATTACCAGGAATTTTATACTTCTTATATACTTGATAGAAATAGCTTTATGGCAATAAATTATAAAGTGATTTCTCTTCTTTTGCAGGATGAAGATAATTTGAAAATCCCTACTCTCTAGCACTATGCCAGGCTCTCCTCCGTTAGGCATGCTCAAGGCCTATTCTTCCCTGCCATCATCTCCTCTGGGAAAGGCCCAGCCTAACAGGAAATCATGTGGCAGGACCCCATGACCTGTGCCATGGCTGATACCACCCAAAAAGGCAGTCCCAAGCACCCTGGCCCAGGACCAGCTCCTTCCTGGTACTGACCAGGAAAGACTGCCTCTGACCCTCTTGGCAGACCCAAGCAGAGCCCAGATTTATTGACTTGTCTATTTACCCAGTCATCAATTAGTAAATGTGATTAACTCCTTCAAAAAAAAAAAAGAAAAAGAAAAGAAAATCCCTACTCATTGATATGAATTTATGTCATTCTCTTTATAAATGAAAAAGAGGTTAATGCTGACTAGAATCTAATGAAAGAAACTGAATATATTAGACTCCTATAATTTCAGAGCAGTGAAGATAAACTAAAAATAAGAGAAATAATAAGTTTCTCTCAGCATAGAAAAATAGTAAGATCAAAATGGTTAGGGGACAATATAATCTCTTTAGCAATATCCATAGCATGTTGTACGTAGAAAGTCCATTTTTAGAGTACCAGAGTCAAAAAAGTAAGATATAAGATTCTGTCAGGAAGCCGACTGTGGCCTAATACAAATAAAACAGACTATTAAGTATTATTGTGTGAGGATCATAAACAAGCTACAGACTGAGAAAAATTCATAGTAAGCAGTGGGTTCTCCAGGAAGCAGACCTCAAGATCAAGATTGGCATGTAATATGTTAATTAAGGAGTACTTTGGGGATCAAACCTATAAAAAGGGTGGGGAATGAGCAGGTTTGGACAGAGGAAAAAGTCAGATGGTGATACAGATCTTGGCTGACTACACACTTCAGGGAACTGTGGAGCTAGAATGGCCCTTCAGAGTTGTCTCTAGAATGTCATCCAATATGGCCAGGCCTTTATATTACCACAGCAAGCAGTCACTGACTGTGGACCACCCAGGGAAGGTTACCTTAGGTAAATTGTCTCCTTGCAGCTGAGGCAGTCCCTGTAGGGGGACCACTGTGGGTGTCTGCCCATGGTACTCCCTAGTTGAGGAAATGAGCATTCACAGAAAAGAGATCTGAGTAGACATCACAGTATCTACAACATTAGGCAAAGTACTTAGAAATATAAGAACAAAAGATCTCAAACCATGCCAGAAACTTCAATTAGACACATGCTTATCAAGGTATACACAACTTGTTCCTCCACTTCATTCAGATCTCTGTTCAAATACCACCCCTTCAGCACTGTGCTCACCAGCTTACCTGAAATGGCTCCTTTTTTCATTTTCTCATGGTGCTTATCACTACCCATTATTTTAATATATGTCTATTTGTTTATTGAACATTATCTGTCACTCCCACTGGAAAATAAATTATTGAAGGGGAGCAACTTTTATCTTATTTACCATTATATCTCTACCATCTAGAACAATGTGGGGAAAATAACATATTTATAAATAATCAGTGTTAATATCTGCACTGCAAGGGATAATGATTTATCATTACTGCTAACTCATTAACAGTACTGTGGTCGAATTATATATAAAAGGTTGTATGTAACTTAGCCTACATTCCTGATTAGAAATGTAAAATACACAACTATGAACTTTAAGGTAGGTCACTGTGATGGTTAATTTTATGAATCAACTTGACTGGGCCACAAAGTGCCCAGATATTTGGTCAAACATTATTCTGGGTAATATTTCTGTGAGTGTGTTTTTGGATGAATTTAACATAATGGATAGACTGAGTAAAGCAGATTGCCTTCTCTTATGTAAATTGACCTCATCCAATCAGACAAAGACCTAAATAAAGCAAAAAGGCTAACCATCCTCTAAGAAAGAGAGACTCTCAACTGTCTGATGGTCTTTAAGCTGGGACATCAACTTTTTCCTGCCTTCAAATTCAGACTGAAACATTGGCTCCTCCTGGGATTTGGTCCTGTAAGCCTTCAGACTAGAACTTATACCATCATTTCTAAATAATCTGTTTTTCTGATTCTTTCCTTCAGATCAGAAGGATATTATCGGCTCTCCCAGATCTCCTGCTTGCCGCCTCTCCCTGGAGACTTTGTGACTTCTCAGTCTCCATACTCACATGAGCCAATTCCTTATAATAAATCTCTTTCTGTGTATATATACCTCTTATTGGTTCTGTTTCTCTGAAGGACCCTGATACTGAAGTTTGAAGTAACCACCATTTCACTTCTCACAATTTTGTATGCAGGTCAGGCATTTGAACATGATGCAGTGCAGATACTCTGTGATATGGGAAGACCTCATCCAATCAGTGAAGGCTTTAATAAAACAAAAAGACTGACCTTCTCCAGCTTGCCAACTGCAGACCTTAGAAACTATCAGCCTATGTGATCATGTGAACCAATCCCGTATAATGAATCTCTTTTTATTTATCACCTATTAGTTCTGTTTCTCTGGAGAACCCTCACTAATACAGTAATCTTATTTTTAAAAAAATCTAACTATGAAAGTAAAATATAAATAGAACCCCAAATAATTAAAGTGTGTTTTATTATTCTCTGCAAAGGACATTAACCATCAGCTACAATGTATCTATCAAATGTGTTGCTTTTCATATGTATGTTTGAGAAACAAAGGGCCTAGTAAAGGGCTCTGTCTCTTAAGAGAAGAAAATCCAAACATCTAAAGAAAGAAGGATACAGTCTCCTATATGTATTCCAGTCAACTAAATACATTTCAACATTTACTTAAAATTCAGAGGCTGTTAAGAAATTCAAAGGATAGCACACCCTTATCCAAATGTAGGATCAAAATATCTTCAAATGCTAAAAAGTAATTTTTGGCTTAACGGCCTCTTAGAAGTCTACATGCCTGTGCCCTGCTTCTATCAGTGTGAATAATTAAAAAAACTAACTGGGTTTCAAGTATAACATTTAAATTGCCATTTTCTGATATTATTCCATCCAAACTATTGGAAAGACAAAAAATTTAGCAGACAATAGTACCAGTTCTTGCAAAGCTGCATTTAAATGACTCCTCAGAAGCAAATGCCTCTTTGACTTACATGAAAATGCCTGCAAACTAATACAGTCTGCTTTGGATGAGTTTAGATGATTTTGCTCATGACAGTTAATATATGAAGGCTATCAAGTGCATTTGTTTTAAACACGAGAAATCAAAAAGAGTAATTATTCATTTGAAAAGGGTTTCCACTTAGATTTTAAAAACAAAATGTATACTTCAAAAAACAACTCCTTATCTCCTACCCAAATGAACAGTATACATTTTAAGGAAGTTACAAATATTATCCAATTTGGAAATATTAAAAAACTCCCACCATTTTTTCAAAGTTCACAGATCCTGAAGATGAAATTTACACAAAACTTGGTCCTTAAAAGGAAATTCTCCATTAAGAAGATTCCATTTGCCTGAAGTGTTCATAATTTATCTCCAAAAAATCTGACAAATTTACACCAACTTGTATTATTTGAAAGGAGTATCTCTATTTAGCTCAAAAGAAAAAGTAAAACTTGAACCTTTCTGATCTCCAAACGATAATGATTGACAAGCCTTGATCATAGGTTAGTTGTAACTACTAAAATAGTGCTATTTCACTTTAAGCCACCAAAACAGTAGGAAACACCACTTTAACAAATTTTCCTATGCTAAAAGTAGGTATTTTTCAGCTTAAGGGCAAAAAAAGCCAAGTATTTTCCCTACTATTCTTGCCACTTACATTTTTTATTGATGTTCTCCTCTGTTAATTATAGCCATCCCTAAAAATCCAACAAAATCTACCTCTTGGTAGACTTGTGTGAACCAGTAATTAAGACCAAACAATAAGATTCTTGTAGACACAATGACATTGTCATTTTCAGCTTGGGATAAGTAACAGCCTGAATTGCAGGCACACCTCAGAGATACTACAGGTTCCAGATCATATTTCACAGTGTGGAAAGTGAGTCACACAAAGTTTTTGGTCTCCTAGTGCATATAAAATTACGTTTACACTATACTGTGGCCTATTAAGTGTCCCATAGCATTATGTCCAAAGAAAACAAAACACATACCTTGATTAAAATCCTTTATTGCTAATAAATACTAATGATCTTCTGAGTCTTCAAGTCATACTCTTTTTTCTGGTGGAAGGTCTTGGCTGCTGACTGATCAGGGTTGTGGCTGCTGAAAGTTTGGGTGGCTGTGGCAATTTCTTAAAATAAGACAAACAACAATGAAGTTTACCACATTGGTTGACTCTTTCTTTCAAGAAAGGTATCTCTGTACAATGTAGTGCTGTTCAACAGAATTTTGCTAACAATAGAACTGCTTTCAAAATAGGGAGTCAATCTTCTCAAACACTGCCACTGCTCTGTCACCTAAGTTCACAAGGAATAGATTTCATTTCAAGAAACCACATTATTCTTTGCTCGTTCCTAGGAAGTAACTCCTCATCCATTCAAGTTTTACCATGACACTGCACCAATTCAGTCACATCTTCAGACTCCACTTCTAATTCTAGTTTTCTTGCTATTTCAACCACATCTGTAGTAATTTTCTCCACGGAAGTCTAGAATCCCTCAAAGTTTTTCATAAGGGCTGGAATCAACTTCTTCTAACCTTTCTGTTCATGTTGATATTTCATACATCTGCACTTGCTGCTTTAAGCTTGTAATTTTGTGTTTAAAAGATGGTTTCTTTTCTTAAATCTCACGACCTCCTTCTATGTATCACAAATGTTCTAACTGGCATCTAGAATGATAACTCCTTTTTCTAAAACAGTGATTTTCAACCGGAGTGCCATGACAGGATCTTAGGTGTGGCAATGAAAACTTTTAAAGATCATTAATTAAATTATTTTTAAAGAAGTTCAAAGAACAGTAAGTGTATTCTTTTTTTTAACTCTTTTTATCTACATAATTTAAGTGTGCTGTGTTAGTTTAACTATAGGTTCACATGTGCCACAAGATAAAAAGCGTTGAAAAACATTGCTCTCTAAAGTTTTCAGTTGAATTTCCCAGCTCTATCAGAAGAATCACTTAGCTATGGTAACTATGTAATAATAATGAAAAAGTCTAAAATATTATGAGAATTACCAAAATTTGACACAGAAACATAAAGTGCTCACATGCTAGCACAGACAGCTTGCTTGACACAGGGTTTCCACAAACCTTCAATCTGTAAAACATATAATATCTGTGACTCACATTAAAGAAAAGTGCAATAAAACAGGACATGGCTATATGTCTCCCCAAAATTCATATGTAAAGAAGTCCCAATCCCTATTACCTTAGAATATGACCATATTTGGAAACAAGTCCTTTAAAGAGGTGATTAAGTTTAAATGAGCATGGATGTTAGAGTGAGCCTGATCCAATTTAACTCATTTCCTTATAAGTAGTGGAGATTAGAACATATAGAGACATCAGGGACCCATGTGCATAGAGATAGGATCATGTGATGCCACAACGGGAAGGCAGCCATCTGCAAGTTAAGGAGAAAGACTTCAAGAAAAAACAAACATGCTGACTTAATCTTGGACATCCTCTCTTTAGAACCATGAGAAAATAATGGGTGACTCTTGTTGGGTGAGTCACCCATTCTGTTGTATTTTATCATGGCAACTATAACAAATTAAGACAGAATATATTGGTACATTTGCTTTATGTACCTCTCAGGCTTATACTATCTTATGATCCTGAGGGGAAAAATGAGGGAGACATCAAATCACCCAGTAAACTTTAGCTAATAAAACAAGATGCTAAATATTTCAGAATTTCTACATTGGCTTCTGGAGGATGCTAATTTGTTTCAATGTAATATAATCTAGTCCAACCCCATCCAAGTAGCCATTTTGTTTGAGCACTTTCAGGGTTTCCAAGATAAATGAAATATGATCTCGGTACTGCTTTTCTGCTAGTTAAAAAAAACTTTTAAAGAGTTATGCAGTGTATTAGTAAATCTATAGAAATAGACCAAATTATTATTTAATATGTCATTAAATGATAAAACTATATTATAAAACCTATGTTCAAATTGATCCTGTATCATAAATATGCACATGTATGCATAGTGTGCACTTTTTTTTTTTTTTTTGCAGTTTTTGGCCGGGGCTAGGTTTGAACCTGCCACCTCTGGTTTATGGGGCTGGTGCCCTACCCCTTTGTGCCACAGGTGCCACCCATGTACATATATTATATGATGGAAAAACCATAGTAAATGCATTTACTTAAATTACTTAGTTGCTAAATGCATTTACTTAGTTGTTCTAAGTCATATGATTATGGTAATTTTAATTTTCGTCTTAGTTTTTCTTCAGTGAACATACTATTTTTATGTTGGATAACTAAGCAAACATTATGAATTTAAAAAGCTACATTACTCAACAAAGGTCACCTGACCCTAAAATTATACAAACTTTAGTTAAAAAAAGAAAAACTTACTTAAAGGAGCAAATGGCTGTCAATATTTAAGAATTTCACACTAAATTCTGAGTTTGGTTATTTTTTTTATTAAGGTAAAATTCATATAATACAAAATTAACATTTTTAAGTGTACAATTTAGTGGCCTTTAGTATATTAACAATGTTGTGCCACTACCACCTCTATCTAATTTCAAACATTTCTATTAATCACTCCCCGTCCTCCTCCTCCCATCCCATGGCTACCACCATTCCACTCTCTTGACTCTGTTACCTATTCTGGAATCATATATGTGACTTTTTGTGTCTGGGTTCTTCTACTTAGAATAACATTTTGGAGATTGATCTACATTATAGCATGTCTTAGTACTTCATTGCCTTACATGGCCCAATATTATTCCATTGTATGAATAAACTACATTTTATTTATCCATCATTTGTGAACATTCATGTTGTTTCTATTTTTTGGTTGTCTAAATGATGCTGCTATGGACATTCATGTGCAAGATTTTGTGTGGAAATATATTTTCAATTCTCTTAGGTATATACCTAGACATTGAATTACTGGGTCATTCATGGCTAATTTCACAGTTAACTTTTTGAGGAACGAACAAAATATCTTCTCTAGTAGCTTCACCATTTTCCATTCCCACTAGCATATAGAAGGGTTCCAATTTCTCTACATCGTCTCCAATACTTGTTATTCTACCACTACCCCCTTTCTTTTTATTTTAGCCATCCTAGTAGGTGTGATGTTGTATCTCTTATTGTTGGTTATGTTGTAATCACAACCTACACACATTTGAAATGTCAGTTGTAGGAATCATGTAAGAAGTTACTAACAATTAGACCAAGTTGTGTGATGAACTTTTAAAATATAAGAACATGTCCACAAGTAATAAGGATAAGGCTAATGTTAGTAACTAATGACTTTAATTAGTCAATTTAGCTAACACTAAATTTAGGATATAAGAAATGAAAGGAGAACATATTAGCCCATCAAGTCCCTAGTAGACACCTAGTCTTAATGAGTAAGTAATTGAACAAGAAATAGCTCATATGATATATTCCTTCTAAGGGTGGCCTAAGCTGTGGTATGAAACAATGAGTTTTCAACTCAATTAGGCATCCAAAAATAAATGAAATGAAAAATAGTTAAACATCAATTTCAAAAAACATTCAAAAAAATGTTATATATTGCTCATGTTTTCTCTCTTCATATAATAGGACTCAGATACAGCTCATACTGTATTTACAAATAATATAAACAAATTCTCCTTTGAGGACTACTATTTGCTTTTTGGAACAAAGAAAATATGATTCAAGAAAAAAAGGGGGGGAACACCACTGGTATACCATATATCCCTTATTCTTTTCAAAAATTATATGTACATATAAGAAACAAAGAGCTAAAACTCTACGATGGGATGGAGTACTGTAAATACTACTAAGGGTAAGCATCCTTAGACAACTACTAAGTTGCATCTCTAACAAATTTGAGGGAAATATTACCTCTACTGATCACAGACATATTTTCATTTCTCTGCCCTTTACTTTTCTCTTCACCTCTTCCCATTCTTCCTTCATTCTTCCCTCCTTCTCTTGCCTACACATTAAATCTGCCAGAAATAACACTGACACTTACCAGCCTTTACAGTGTACTCAGAACCCAGAAATGTTACCATTCTTTAACAGTGATGATTACCTCTACTTTCAAATTTTAGATTTGGTTTTTAAAAGCCTACTATTTTATAAGGCTTCTTTAGGTAGATTGGTATCTGGGGATACAAGACTCAATATTTCCCTCTCCAAACACACAGAGCTGGAAAATTTCTTGGAAAAGCCCAAGTCATCAGTAAAAGCATGGAGATGGGGTCACAGTCTTCCTTCCCACATCTTTATCATGTATGATGCAGTGTTGACAAAGGTTAGATTCCTCAAACAAGGAAAGTTTAAGTAGGAGAGAAAAATTATGACCAATCCTACATGGCAACTAAAAAATAGTTTATTGATATGTCCATGGATAAAAGGAAGATGCACATTGAAAAGATAACAAGAGGTCCCATATGATATATCAGGGACAAAAACAGGAGCTTTAGATAATCAGTGTTAAAGTGACTTTATTTGTACCAATCATTTGAAATTTTGTGATATCAAGCTATGTCTAGTTATATAATAAGGCATATAGGTTATAAACTGAATACTTTCTAGCAAATTACAGATCTAGCAGATTACAATCACAGCTATATTTCAAATACTGAAAGGTACTTATTCTCTGCATTTGTTCATAAGGCAGGCTAATTTCTTCGTGGCACCATGCTACAGAAATATGCTCATTCTCTTATCTAATGATGACATCATCAAAAAAATTTAAAAAAACACAAGTCTATTGCCAGGCCTCAGTTAAACTAAAATTTGGAAATAGATTCCACCATCTCTAATGCTAAGTAACTGAGGTATTCTCCACACAATGGAAAGGAGTTTTATGGGCCAGACAAAGACTCTGCAGTCTAAGATGGGAAAGTCAAAGTGACAAAAGTGAGAAATGAACAGATGGAAACATTTTATAGGTATATAGAATTTCTGCACAAGATATTGCTCATCTATTTATTGCCTGCCATCCAAATGTGTACTATTCCCACACAGAAGGTTTGCCAAAAGGTAATTTTAAAACATCTGTTCTGATACTCCTTCAAAATGAATTGTGGATCTTATCATAAGGGAAAATAGATATCTTTTTATAGAATAATCACTGGGAACCTTCTTATAGACTTCTCCTAAAGAAATAATC